TTTTCTAATTTGTTGAGATAGTGAATTGGTGGGTTTTTGTTAAATGTGAGCCAAAATCATCACAATTAAAAGAACCAAAGACTTAAACTACTTCAGTCTGTGTGCATTGAATTTATTTAAATTGAATTTATTTGAATTACTGAAATAAATGAACTTTTCCACGACATTCTAATTTATTGAGATGCACCTGTACTTGCAACCCACCAAAATAAATGCTTGCTGATTTTAGGTTTTAAAATGTTAAAAATTCATGTAAAAAGAAAAAAATTAAAATGTAAATATTTGCATTGTATTTTTAAGTGTACTATAAAATAATGTTTTTTGTTTAATACTCATTTATTTTATCATACTTTATTATTTTGTTTATTATTTTATTAAAAAAATTACCTAAATAAAGTGCAGTAATACTGTTATTAATATTACCAATTTATTTATTTTTTATACTTCTATTTCACACTACATGCAGGGTGAGCACCAAACCAAATCTCCAGGTGCTCTCATGAGAACCAGACCAAAAAACTTATGTGCAACCCTGTGTGTGTGTGTATGTGTGTGTGTATATATATATATATATAATCCACTTTTTAAAACATTCATTAAGACATACATTAAGAAATAAAATGTTTTTTTCTTTTGAAGTTGTTGTGGTTTTGTTCTAGGATTGATAGAAGCATTTTTGATTTTCAAATTCCATTTATATACATTCTCAAATGCATTGACATGATTTGTAATTTGTAAATCTTAAAAGGGAGTGTTAAACACTCTTGCTGAACACAATAATCCTGTTTTCTTACTCCAGCAGGTGGAAGCAAATCGAAGAAAATGAAACTGACAGTGAAAGGAGGGGCAGCAGTTGATCCAGACTCAGGTGAGACGGACTAATTTTTCCATAACACTTCAAGATATAAGTCAGTATGTTCTGTTTGGTTGTTTGTGCAATGCCTTAATCATGAATTGATTGCTCAGGTCTGGAAAACTGTGCTCACGTACTGGATCAGAATGGGAAGATTTACAGCGCCACACTGGGTCTCGTGGACATCGTCAGAGGGACGAACTCATACTACAAACTACAGCTGCTGGAGGATGACGTCAAGAAACAGTGAGCATTTGGATTCCTCTTTAGGGTGTCCGCGGGGTCTTAAAAAGTATTAAAAGTTGATAAATCAATTTAGAGAAAATTAAGGCTCTTAAAAAGTATTAAAAAGTCTTATATGCCATTTTCCAAGGTATTAAATTTTGTATCATCTTTTCGTTATGTATATTTGTCCGAATAGTGGGGTTCTGTGTAGTTTATTTATGGAATCCCGCAAGATTTGACGTCATCTGTTACGGCGCTCACTGACTGACTGCGCCGCTGCGTGATAGCGCGAGGCTTGTTGATCCTGCTTTCGCTGAATTTCTGACCATTATCGCATGCTCCCATCCGCTCCCGCAAACATTCTAATATTGTATATAATTTTCGCGTATCAGGGCGCCGCTATCAATATGTGGGGTATTTAAATTCCTTTTGAATGAGCAGTCGCAGTTCACTTTCACTTTCGATTTCGCGATCACGCGCGCACTGTGTAAAGGGAGCACATCTTACGATATAAGATATTTTTCAATGAGCTCAGGATCTGTTGAGGAGCAAATCCTCCAACATCTTGTCAGTTATCTCTCCTTACTTTTGACCCGTGATCAGTCAAATCTGACTTCTGCAGCTTGTGTTGGATGCAGGGTTGTTGTTGTTTTTTTCCACGATATTGGGCTGCTTTTAAACTCTTGCCATTGGTTGATTTTCCCCAGTGGGTTAAAGGTTTGAAATATTGCATAAATTACATTTGGTTGAAATGCTTGTACTGAAACATTTTGCATTCTACCTGTAATAAAACTACTGAATGTTTTGGTCCACACTAGAAGGAAGCATTTGGGCTGTGTTTATGATAAATGTCCCTAACAGTGACTGTAAAATTAGTATTTTAGGGATGGAAATTACATTTTTATATTTGGGACATGGTAATTGCACTACTTTGTTCTTTTTTTTTTACTGGCATGGGCTTGGGATGCACAATTAAAATTATGCAATAGTTGTGATCATTATTTTACCTGTGACCCCTTTAAAAGGTATTAAATTTAACTCCATGATTCCTGTATATACCCTGCTCTTACACATACGTAATTTTATCCCAAACTTAAGAACTTGTTCATTATTAGACAGCCAATTTAATTGTACAATATAGATAATCCATAGTAATTTTATACTGTATATACAAGTTTCTTTGATGTAATAGTAAGTGCTTTGCAAGCAGCATTTTTAACCAACTGCTGCTTCAAAACCTTAATGTATATGTGTTTTTTTGCAAATGTTTCCCATAAGGTATTTCTCTTATAAAAGTGTGAATTTAGGGTACGAATCAATTCAAGCTTTTTTTTAATGTACACTTTTTATGTGAGGAATACCTTTTATTTATTTATTTGACCAGATAGGGCCATTTGTCTTGAGCATGCTTGTGTTGCTTTTTCAGATACTGGGTGTTCAGGTCGTGGGGTCGAGTCGGCACCACCATTGGGGGAAACAAACTGGACAAGTTTTATGATAAGAACTCCGCAATGGACAATTTCTGCAGCGTGTATGAGGAAAAGACTGGGAATGCCTGGGCCTCCAGCAACTTCACAAAATACCCCAACAAGTTTTATCCTCTAGAGATTGACTACGGACAGGTAAGAACTGGAGTGACATCAAGCCAGAGCACTGTTGGAAATGTGAGAGTGTGATTTAAAAAGCACTGCTAGAATTGTGCATACATCTTTGTGAATATTAGTTGCGTCTGTTAACATGAATTAAAGGCCGTCAGAAAGACTATATTAAAATAATTTAATTCCATAATACCATTACTGAATGTTCTTTATGGTTTATACCTTTGATTAATTAATATACATGTACATTTTTACTCACAAATAGCAATTTTCTACCAAATAAAGTATTACCTTATTATAGAGCTTGACAACATTTGTAATTATATAATATATAATTAAAATATAAAATGATGATTAGCTCATTTTAAGCCTTGTTTTGTCTTGTCTTTTAAATAATTTGAAGCCATTTCACTTTGGAAGTGTGCTAAGGCTTCCTAGTGGGTCCTGGCTCCTCTGATAGAGAGCCTACAAATATAAACATAGTGATAAGTATTTAAACAAATTGTTTATAATCTAAATAAATCAATATGGAGCTTTCTGCATGTATTTACCCAGGACGAGGAGGCTGTGAAGAAGTTAACTGCGAGCACAGGTGCCAAGTCCAAGCTGGACAAACCCATCCAAGACCTCATCCGAATGATCTTTGATGTGGAGAGCATGAAGAAAGCCATGGTTGAGTTTGAGGTGTGTTCACTTCCTCTTATTTTTTATTTTTAGAAAATGTAAGACAAGCGCAGTAAAATAGCACTAAAACTATCTATATTTGTTGTGGTCATATGTGTTGGTAACTTTGTGTAATTTCTCCTACAGATTGACTTGCAGAAGATGCCTTTGGGAAAACTAAGTAAGCGACAGATCCAGAGTGCTTATTCCCTCCTGAGTGAGGTCCAACAGGTTGGTCTTAGTGGTTCTGAAAGCTGGATCTCAACCGTATATATATGTATTAAAAGCCCAGTTCTTCCCATTTCGGTTGCCTTTATCCTAACGTCCTTTTTGCTCTTCATTCATTTCTGTAGGTTGTGGCAGATAGCGCTGCAGAAGCACAGATCTTAGATCTGTCCAATCGCTTCTACACACTGATACCTCACGACTTCGGCATGAAGAAACCACCACTGTTGAATAACATGGATTACATACAGGTACGACTTGGGCAACCATCTAAAGATTGGCACGGAAACAGTCTTGCTGTGATTGTACTCAATCCTGTTGCATATCCATTATAGCAAAAGGTGCAAATGCTGGACAACCTGTTGGACATCGAGGTGGCCTACAGCCTGCTACGAGGAGGAGTGGAGGACAATAAGAAAGATCCCATTGATATTAACTACGAGAAACTCAAAACCAAAATTGAGGTAAAATGTCTTTCACTGAAAGAACTGTGAAGTATCCTTCACTATTACCATGAAGTGGTCATGTTGTAGTGATTGATGCCGATTTTGTGTTTCTAGGTGGTTGAACAGTCATCAAGTGAGGCTCAGCTTATCCTACAATATTTGAAGAATACACACGCTGCTACTCACAACACCTACACACTGGATGTCGAGGAGGTGAGGTTAACCCTATAATGCCTACTGCATATGCATTATATGTTTTGCCCCCACAATTACAATTACAGTGCTTTTATCAGAAAAGCATTTAAATATAATCTTACTAGGACATATTATTGGGAAATATAGAGTGGTATTTTATGCAAGTAGTCTGCAGTACTGTTATAAAGGTCTCATTCATTTACATTCCACGTTATCAGAATTTCATACTTTTTGACCATATAAATATCAGCAACTGTACTAAATTGCATATTTTTGCTCAGCTTGAGCCTCTGAAAAAAATAAAGTGTTTTTTTTCCCTCCTTGAGTATGAGCTTCATGTTTCCTATATTTAAAATATAGAGTGGTATTTTATGCAAGTAGTCTGCAGTACTGTTATAAAGGTCTCATTCATTTACATTCCACGTTATCAGAATTTCATACTTTTTGACCATATAAATATCAGCAACTGTACTAAATTGCATATTTTTGCTCAGCTTGAGCCTCTGAAAAAAATAAAGTGTTTTTTTCCCTCCTTGAGTATGAGCTTCATGTTCTCCTATATTATACTATATGAGCCATAAAAGCCTGATGTATCAAATATGATATAAAACACATACAGTATGTGAAGTTTTAGGGTTTGTTTTCTGTTAACTTAGAAAAATGTGAATTTTCAGGCTTTACAGGGTTCACTAGTGCATTAAAGGATAAGTTCACTCCAGAATTAAAATTTCCTGATAACTCACCCCCATGTCATCCAAGATGTTCATGCCTTTCTTTCTTCAGTCAAAAAGAAATTAAGATTTTTGAGGAGAACATTCTTGGATTTTTATCCATATAATGGGACCCAACGGGTTGAACGTCCAAACTGCCGTTTCAGTGCAGCTTCAAAGGGCTCTATACGATCTTAGCTGAGGAATAAGGGTCTTGTCTAGCGAAACGATCTGACATTTTCTAAAAAAATAAAAATGTATATACTTTTTATAAACTGTAATTTGGACCTTCAACCCATTGGTCCCAGTTGAAGTCCACTATAAAGAGAAAAATCATGGAATGTTTTCCTCAAAAACCTTAATTTCTTTT